GTACTGTATAACACAACATATCAAATAAATAAATGCAATAAAAAGAAAACAAATTTCCACTTCATTAAGTTTTTTAAAATATAAGATATCAATACAATTTTATTTTATTTCAACAACTACAGTTGAAGGGGCTGTTAGACTAAAAAAAACAACTTGAGGTTGAAGAGTCATTCTTAAACTTTATTTTAGTCTTATCTTACCTTTTATGAGTGTTTTTTTCTTTGATCTTGATGTACATAAGATATCTGTGGTTTTAGGGTTTGGGGATGTCTGTCTCTCTTGAAAAAAAAAAAGATTTCTAATCTCAATGAGACCTGGTTAAATAAAGGTTTTATAATAACACAAACACAACAATATTTGAACAAGTAAATATATTGATTAAAGCCAGACGTGTTGCTGAAACACGAAACGAGATCAGACTGATGTCGGAACAGTGGGAGACTGAAAAATAACAGGAGACAGTTGAACATCAGAGCAGATATCAGGCGCTGCAGGTTGAACTGGGGTTGTGTTATTAGTGGTTGAAAACAAGCAAAAAAAAAATCAAGTTTTAAAGATTAATTTTACTTTGAAAATGTTAAATATTTCCAACATCTTAGATTAGATCCACAAGAATGTGTCACTAAAAACAATGACGTCATCCCTGCACGCAGGCTGGGCTGACGTCATCAGAGGGAGAGCACCCGAGTGTTTCCTCTGATCATAAACACGTCTCGGATCTGAAGCAGTGAAGAGTAAAAGAAGCTTTTTCAACACTCTGCTGCCTATTTGTGTGAAACGAGATGCGGCAGTATTTGTTGACAGAGGAATGCCACGGAAAAAAAAAACAAAAAAGAGAGAAAAGAGTCAAATCTGTCTCAATAAAGATCAGCGGGTCGGAAAATTGATGGCGGAGCCTCCACAGTGACGCAGATCGGGGGGAGAATCTATCTGCACATGAATCTCCTCCTCTACAGAGGCGACTCTAAACGCCGACAGGTTGATGCATTCTTCCTACGTCATAAAGTTTGATAGTGACCGCAGTCAATATTTCACCCTGACACCCCTCCCCCCACCCCCTCACACGACTCCCCACTCCTGTTCCTATTGGACCACCTGCACACACACCTATATGCTGTGAGAAGTGTGTATTCGGCTTAACGTTTGAGTCACGCACAGAACAAAAAACAGGTTCCCGATTCCTCTGTCGCAAYATTTGACATGCACCGACACGACCACGTCCAGACACCTTTTCAYCCCTACCTGCTCCTCTTCACACGAATGTTTAGAGACGAAATCATTTGTTTCATTCTCCACACCCCCACCCCCCCCTCCAGCCTCCAGACTGGTCCTTTCCAGTCCGATGGAAGGGTTTACGACTATATAGCTGCRCAGAAACTTTTTATTAACAAATTAATTAAAAGGCGTCAACATGGGAAGGCTTGTCCATTCAGCCTCTCATGTTGGAGCCAGAGTCTGACCCAGAACCAGAGGAGAATRAAGACCACCAAACTGTTAAGTCCAGACCTTGGTCAGTTCCGCCACGAATGATAGTTCAGAAAACGAATAGAAAATAGGGAATGACATAAATATGATAAAAGTTTATTTTTTGCAGCACCTGGTGAGACTAAATTCAAAGTTTCTGCACTCCTAGAGACAAAATACATAAACAAACAAACAAACAAACAAACAAACAAACACAAACAAACAAAAACATAAATAAACAAAAACACACACACAAACACACACACAAACACACACACAAACAAACACACGCACAAACACACAAACACACACACACAAACACACACACA